GTGCCGAGGATGCAGCGAGGGGGAACCACTTGGTCACCCAGGCCTCTGGTGGTGCCATTTTTTAAGTTTCCTTGTTTTTGGTGAGCAACGTTTGGGAGGGGTCCCCCTTCAAAATCAACCAACAAAAAACGATGCGATGGGAACAAAACATGGTGTGTGTGTGTGTGGCTCATGCCGTGAATCAGCCAATGTGGGCGAGCCGATGCTTGCCAACTGCTGACAATGGTGCACTCTTATTGGCAGGCTCTTGATCGTTTTGGAGTCGGAGCGGGAGCGAGAGGCTCGTCTTTCCCACGATTGGCTTTTGGTTTGGCTGGCTTTTCTGAAAGCGTCAGCACCTTTGTGCTGTGATCTCTAAGGCCGTTTCCAAGACAGATAATGGACCACCACCGTAAAGGGAAACACCTGAAACACCTTAAATAGTAGTGGAGGGCCACGCCTAGCAATAAATTGCTTTCATACATACACCCCCCCTACATTTTTTTTCATTTTCCATCTTCTACCCTTATTTGTTTTCATCATTTTTCTACATTCCTTTCTGTCCATCTCATTCGTTTTGTTCTCATCATTTTTCCAAAATTTTCGCCATCCTTTTCTCCTTCCTCCTCGCCTCATTCATTTCACCAACTACCCTCCAAAATGTCATTTCCTCAATCTCCTCACCTCATCCATTTCAAAAAATAAATTTTGCAAAATATATTGCAAAAAATATTTGTCATCAAAAAAATATTCGAACTGTCTAAAAACGATTTGTCCATTTCCCGGACAAAAAATAGAACAGCAACAACATCACTCCCTCCTTCGTTTCATCAGTTTCATCATATATTTTTTTAGGCGTGGTCGCATAGCTTGCGAGCTTCGCTAACGCTCGCGTGTCCCTTGTAGGATTTTATCTTCAATATATAAAACGCTATACTTACATGATAATTATAACATATAAGGGTATAAATGTTATTATTATAGTATGATTAATAATTATGGGTTACATTTATAGTCAGGAAAAATGTCTTCAAATATGTAATCTACATATTTATCAATATCGCCAATGTCTATATATTTGATATTGTCTTTTCCTATTATTGAATAAATATATTCCCAGAAAAACAAATTAACTAGTAGCCATACTTGATATTTAGTGTTGTAGTAAGACCATACATGATATTTAGTTATTCTAAATTCATTCAAGACCTCGTTTATTTTATCTTTACTTAATAAATGCCAATCAATCGCTTCAAACATGTCTCGAAATTTGTTAACGAATGCTTTATATGGTTTAATTGCGTTTGCCCCTCCAAACCTCTTAATTAAATCTTTATTATTAAAGAACTCATCAATTTCTTTTTCAAATGACTTTCTAGCAATTTTATGGTAAAAACATACAGGAAATCGTTTTTGATATCTCATAAAGAATTTCAATTGTAATTGAAACTTTGTATATCCCTTATCCTTATGTTCTTCAACAAAAAACTTTTCAAGGTCTCTTGTTATACAGCATTGATTACAATATACATCATATTCACCTATTTTATTACATAGATTGGCGGGTAATAACTTATACAATGTTATATTAACATCATTCCTTTTAGTTGTACAACATTCGCACTTTGAATAATTAAATAACATTTCCACTGTAATATATATATATATATAGTGTTTATTTCTTTAAATACTTTTTTACAAGAAATACAATTACATATTGAAATATAATTATAACATATAATATTTTACATGTTAATATTATATTATGATTATAATTTAAGTTCAGGATAATAATTTAATTGATACATCTTACCTCTTTCATACATCATTTTAAAAATATTATTAGTATCTCTCACTGTATGTTTAACATTAAACTTTTCACTTTCAATATGTGATTTAATGATTGTTTTTACATCAAACCCTTCTTTTCTTTGATACTCCAACATCCATAATATGTAGTCAATGATTTCATACTTTTCCTACTGATTTTCATAAATGCTCTAACATAATCATAAGGTGGTATTTTATACACAGTTAAAAATATCAAAATGTCATCTTCAACATTTCTTTCATTAAACCTTTTAATATCCAAATTACATTCGATTGCTTCTTGGTAATATCTCCAATTTCTACAAATTTTACATAAATTTTCTTTATTTAAAGAATAATCAATAATATTATTAACTATTCCGTTAGGTAAATTCAATTTATATTGTGTTTTGTTCACGTGTTGTTTCATCATGTGGCAAAACGGCCGAATGGCCGTTTGGCTCAAGTTTTTGGGAACTCCCGTCAAGTTCCCCTCGGACTCGCGTGCGAACGCCATATCCTGGCATCGCTCTTCGTCACCGCAAAAGGCTTTGTGGTGCCGCGGCGCTTTGGGGGTAGGAGGTGTTCGGTGGGCCGTCGAGGTGTTCTTGGGCCTGTCCCTCAAACTACTGTTTTGCAATCCCATTTCTAACCTCCCCAAACCTGATCTTCTTCAACTGTCACTCCCACAACCTGGTCATCAGCACCTTCTCCATTGTGCGTTGAGACTGGGTTCTTTTGGTACTTCGTGGATTACGTGTACCTCTTTGATTCCCTGGGCTACTTCGTGTTCGCCCAAAACCGCAGGTTATCAGCCGTACCAGCTAGAAGCTGGGGCTGGTGATCCGGTTGCGGGACGTGACCCGCTACCTGCTCCCATCGCCTACTTGTACGAGCAATGGCGTCCCCCGGAGCTTCTCATCGTGGGCCGGGCTTCGTGGACGACGAGGCCAACGCCCTTCGCGGCAACGCCGCGCCTGCTGCCCCCGGCTTAGACAGCCGGCTGTGGCCCATTCCCCCGATGGTGGGCGCAGAGCCCAATCCCGGGGTGATCACGGACGATTGGATCCTTTCTCAGGTTGTGTTTGATGAGGATGCGGAGGCCCCTATCCCGGCGGCAGTGCTCCAGATCGAGGACGGACCCCCTCTAGAAGAGGCTGAGGTTCCTCCAAATCAGGTGCCCTCATCGATTTCGCCTACTGTTCCGTTCGTGGCGCTCCAGATCGAGGACCGGGCTGTCCATCATGCTGCTCATCCGGAGCCGGCTCAATCATGGTCCCTTACATGGGATCAGTTTGACCAACTCCTCGGCAGTGGATCGCAGGCTACACCGCCTGATTTCGGTCGGCTCGACTTTAACTCGGGTGCCCCCGTTTCGGTTGGGAATCTGGATTTTCAATCCCTTTTTGATGCTGATTGGAGGTCTCAGCCTTCCCGAATTGACAGATCTTTTGATGCCCTGCCTACGCATGAGCCTACTCAGGGTTTTCCTCATGATGGAGAAAATGACCCCATTGAAGATTTCTCCCCTTCTCATGTTGCAGGTTCGGCCCAACCCGAGGTGGGCAAACGGGCGATTGAGGATTGGCCGCAAATAGCTGGCCCTCCTCCCGTCTCAGGTTCATCCGACATTGACATCATTCACGATCACCCCAGTCCGGCGGATATGGACTTCATCCCTGATGCAGTATCATCTCACCTGTCAGGTACCCGCGACCGGAATGCGGACCGCTACAACGCTGGTCCTCAGGTACCCGAGGTCGGGATGCGAACCGCTACAACGCGGGCTCAAATCCGCCAAATCGGACATCAGGTACTAGTCGATCGGATGCGGGCCGCGAAACAGCAGGCCCAAATCCTTCCTCCTCTTCGTCAAGAAGCCATGCCGGTCTCTTCGCGGCGTTCAATCGGCGTCAGACTCGAAAAGAGTCCGCCCCCGACGTCATCGACCTCGAGGAGCAGTCCAGCCACCGTACCAGCGATGGATCCGAGCAGGATACACCTGGTATTGGCTCTACTCCATTTGACCTCCTCGACATCCCCTTCCATCAGCCACCCAGGAGAGGAAATGAAGATGATGAAACCATTCCTGGGATCCTTGATGTAATCGATGAGGCCGAGGTCACACCAGAGAGACGAACTACATCGCTCCCGCCGAGCCGCGTTGCCAAAGTACTTTCCCCTAAGCCACTCAATGGTGACGTTGCTCAACGGCTTGATCTCACTCAACCTAATCCAGATCAAGCTCAACTTCGCGGATCATCATCATTTGATAATGTGTCGGGACAAACCGGCACTGACTCACGAGCCACAAAGAGGAGCTCTGAGTCACCCGAGAGACGTGAAGCTGCTCTACGACTGCGATCTAATCCCCCAGCTCATCACGATCCTATTGACGTTCCTATACACTCTGCGGGGTCTGGGCTCAGCTCCAATGCCCCGATGTCTGAGAAGGAGACTGATGACGGGATTAACTCTACGCCTAGGAACCGGAGACCTGGACTTAGCACTGTTGCCCCTGGATATGGAGGGCTTCCTTCGAATCAACCGGTCAACGACTCCGTTGTCCCCGCATTCTTTCAAATCGGAACTCCGGGCTGCACTCCCGACAGGGAAGAGAATAGTCGCGGAGATCATGACGCTGATAGTCGTCCTGCTCCGTCTGCTTCCACAAGTGGCGGCCATCCTGTTGCATCTGAGCTTCAACGACTGCTTCTCGCGATCCACAACGAGGTCAAGGGGTGCAAGGCCGAAATCCAGGGATGCAGAGCTGAAATTCGTTCATGTAGGGATGATATCAATGCTTGCGTCGGTGAGATCAAGAAGATCAATAACCGTGTTGACGCCTTCGAGAAGAAGGTTGAATCATCTTTCTCTGCCGTTGCCGGAACTCTCTCAAAACACGAGGCTAAGTTCCGTGATTTCCACGAGTGGGTCGCCCGAAGCGAGAAGGAGATGAATGAGCGTTTCAAGATGTATGATGAGAGATCTGACTCGATCGTCATATCCGCTGCTGAACTTCGCGAGCAGGCCGAATCACTTGAGAACGTCAAGGTCCAGCTTCTTAGGTTTTCTGAGATCGGGGCCCTTGAGGCTGAGGTTCGGAAAATCAAAGACGAAGTTGAGGCGAACTCTCGCAGTGTCATCGACATTGAGGGAACCATCTCAAGAGAAAGAACCATCCGTGGGAACGTCGAGACGTATATCCAGCA